AAAATGGGTTCACCGGACTCACAAATGCATCTTCGCACGATTCAACTAAACTCGTGCAATAGCAAAAGACAGACTAAAGAAATGGAGTGTGATAGAAGCCACTAGCAGCTCGTAACTTGAAGGGTTATTTGAGCGACATTGTCACTTGAGCAGCTCACACGAATGGTTGCCTCCTGATTGGAAGAGCACTCAAGAAAGGGTTTTTTGGTTTTCGGACGGAAACGATACGATGTGTTTTTTGGATTACTAATCGCGTAAACTTTATTGAACACGTTCTTCGCAATGACTACCATTCTGATACGGATGTCAGTATGTATATTCCGCTTTGAAGTTCTTTGCCATCACTCCGTGCTGGTTGTTTGCGACACATGCGTACACTCCTTGGTCACCCATTGTTGCCGGATCTGAATCATGAAATTTTTCGGATGACGTCAGTCATCTAAAATAAGCACGAACAGTTTGTGAACTCGTTGTGTATTACCAGGCCTAAGGCCGATGTTAGACTTTGCGAATCCTGCGATTGGATTCGAATGGTTTTAGTGCAAGGTTAACTATTGTGTTTGGAACAGTCTGAGGTAAGGATGAAAACACATCCTGGAGGTCTTGCTCAGATGACTCCCAGCATCTACATTCCATTTTAAAAGCTTATCGGGCAGGGTGGAAGGAAGAGATGTGAAACTGCTGCATTTGCAAGGAATACGCAGTCCACTGAATACCCTGTCCACTAAATCAGATAGGACCTCCCTCCAAAAATCACAATAAGACCTCATAGGTCTAACATATCTGTGATTGACTCGGAGCAAAGGAACTCTGAGGCATGAGATGAAATCGCCAATGATGAGTCACATCGACGAATAAACAGTTGCGTTTGAAATGGGGTTAAGTTTTGGAATGAGGAATCCCGTTGGTGCTTGGAAAGGTGGTGGAACGAAACAAAGGGGGAACGTGCCCGTTAGGTCATCAGAGGTGCGCGATGATCAATGCCAGGCCACAAGGTTGGGCAAGACCCAGGCCTAGTTCTAAGCTTGGGCTTATCATTACACATTTTCTTATGCTCAGGCCTTGAATTAGGCTTAGGTCTAATCTTAGACCTACTAAGAGCAGGTGAGAGATCCTGATCAGAGGTAGACAGACCTGACCGGGAGAATCAACATTCGCAGGGGAGGTTTTCAGTTTTTAGCGTTGGCGCGACTCATTTTCACTCCATCATCTGTTTTTATTTTTCGAAACACCATATGTCGCCGTCGACGCAGCTAATTGGCGAATGAGGCGGAAAGAATATGAGTAGTAGCAGAGACGGTCGAACAGGGAATTTGCTCGAATTACGGGAGTATTGGGCAAAACACTTTACTGTTTCTCTGAATATGAGTATATCGGATCTAGTCTGAGGCTTGTTAGTCGTGAAATGAACTTTTCAATAGGAGTTTCTCCTAATTTTGCTACGCTTCTTATTCATAGGTCTTACCTATTTCCAATTTGCTCCAGAGCATATCCTCACCAAGGGGTTTCTCATAGTACTGAAAAATGTTGATTTCCAAAGAATTACTTGTTGTAGTGAACGGAAAGGTTTTATTAAAAAGCGTACATGAGTGTTATGTTTCGGATGAAGCTCAGCGCCCTCCTTGTACCATTTAATGGTCGGTCGTGGATCCCCTTTCGCTTTGCAAATGATAATCAGTTTATATCCGAGGCGAAATGTTTGACTGAAGTGAGAGCCAGTGACGATATGAGCACTCTGTAATTGGATAACTATTTGGGGTTATCTTTATCTTTTTGAATATATCTGCATGGAAAATCGTTATATCTACACAAAACATCTACAGTAAGAAAGGATTCTTAAGATTTTGTAGCCACCGAAAAATAAGGGTGCTATCGCACGACACGGGGCATTGTGGTGGCAGTGCATTTATTATCACGTGAAACATGTCCTTTCTTGTTAGAAATAGGACTGAATCTTAGACGGGGAGGAAAGGCTCCAGGGTACGTCGGCCATTTTTATTCTCCTAGATATTCCGGCCCCTTCCTGGGCTCAGTCTAGAGGATGTCCTCGTATAATGCGATAGCGCCTAACTAAGTTCTGATAACTTAGCTTCGCTCTTCGATGCTGAGTGTTGCCCAAAAATCACCCTGTTTCCTTTGTTTTATGCTTGCATTCTGTATTTTTTTTTGCAAGTTTCATTTCTTGATGTATGAAAGATCTATATATTTCGAGGCCTTTGATTACCTGTAGATGGATGCTATGTAATGAGATCTAAGAGAAGAAAGTTTGTGGTAGGGTTAAGTCCATGCACGGCGCTAATCAAGAATGCTTACCCGATTGTCGGCGAGTTGTGTTTGAATTAATGAGAATTCGGCTACTTGTGCAAATTGCAGATTGCTTTTCCCTTTGCCCTTCCCTCCTCTTCGACCTCCGCGACTGTCGACAAAGTGTTGCAGAGCGACAAGTATGAAGAGGAGGAAGATTCGCATACGGAAGATCACTGATGTGCCTAAGAAATACTTGCAGTACTTACATCCATCTCTTCGATCGATTGTTGAATCGTAAGTATGTTGCTATATTTTTAGTCGTAACAAATTTGAAAGCGAGTGTCATGTCAGCTGATTAACAAGATATTCATCTAATCGATAGGAATTTTCAAGAGAGGAAATAGCAAACAAAAAGTGATTTCGAAAAGTTATCAAGTCTCGCTGAGCAGTGATGAAGCTATTGATTCAAAGCTTTAGTGTAATAGAATGAGCGATTTCACTGAATCGTGCAGGGGGATTGCAAAGTCGCCCATAGGTCTACAGCTCCGGGTGTGGTTGCCCTTAAGTACAAGCCTCAGTAACTAATTTAGTTCGTGATTTTCTTTGCATCGAAATAGGTAGTTTACTTCTGTTTGGTCATTATTTTCCTAGTTTATTAAGTTCCACTACGTAGGCGAGCAGATGTGATGAGTTAAGGGGCCTAATGAACATCGATAACTTTCAGTGCTGGGTCTTCAATTTCCCTTAACTAGCTGTAAAGTAATAGTTTTTCGACATTATTAGAACTTGTCAGACTTTTTCGTGGTTAGCCTAAACTAGATGTAGTATGCAGATGTGCAAGGCGTAAATTTGCGTTTCGCCAGTTATTGGCATAGCGTTCGAGCGTACGAAACAAGTTCTATTTCAGCAAGAATCGACGATGGAAAGTGAATCGTGCGGAATGGTTGAAAATACGGAATCGACTGCTTCACTATCGCCCCCAAGCTCGCGTGTTTCCGTGGTACTGCGAGGTGTGCACACTATCGTCACGTTTCCTGTCGGTAATTCAGGAACACAGCTGTCCTAACAAAAACCTTTCAAGACATGTGCAGGACTTCACTAATGGTTAGTTTTGGCGGTAAACTAGATTACAGCATTTTATTTCGGAGTGAACTGTTGGAAGCAAGATCTGGCATTCTGTAGTTTGATTGCACCCACGGTTGACCACAGCGTTGATTTTTTTTTCCAAAAATTTTCACGACCTTTCCTGTTTCTTTGGGTGTTTCGATACTGGGTGTAGTTCGGGCGTGGTTCGCAGTTCGCACGATCCACCACTCAATAGGCTGATGAATGCATATCCTCCAATTTTCCCCTTTTCACACTTTGTCGTGAAGTTCTTGCCAAAATCGTCAAAAACCCAGCAAAAACGAGCCACTACCGCTCGGGTGTGGTTCACTAGGACAGAAAGCGACTTTTTCGCGTTTCGCAGCGCGAAACATTGTTCGTTGCGGGAATCTCGGGTCCACTGATGATTCGCTGCGGGAACCTCGGGTCCACTGATGATCAGGTTCCCGCAGCGGAAAATGTTTCGCGCTGCGAAACGCGAAAAAGTCGCTTTCTGTCCTAGTGAACCACACCCCTCCCCCTCTCCCGTAACCATGAGAGCTTCAACGCTGAAACGACCCCCGTTGGCATTTGTCCAGATGCTTAATCTTGACGAATTTCAAACACGACCCCTCCCCCTTCCTCCAAAACGCTCTTCATTGGTACTTGCTTCAACGAGCGGTTGACCCTAATTGCATGTCTTATCACAAACTCGGAAATTGTTTTTCATGTGTTGTCAGACTGTTTCGTCCGCTTTTATCTAAGTTTATGTACAATTCGCGCATTTTCCGAAACAGGTGAAGTGATTACTGTTCATGCTATCTGTATTTGTGCAGTCTATAGCTTAGCTGGAGAAGTTTTAGAGAATATGTGGTTTCTCCTTAAAAGCATAACATTCATGAGTCAAATGGTAATCTTGACGATATGTGCTTATTTGCTCAGCTCATCGAGTGTACTAATTGTTAGCGAAATGTGTAGTTCTTGTCCCCAAGCGCGAGCCTTCTAGAGATACGAACGTGATATTCGTGTTCTACGGGTCGAATTACCCCTGGGCAAGTTTCTAGCCGAATCCACAGTCATGGACAAATTTCGATAAAAACCCGGCGAGGAGTGAGGCAGTAAAGGGTAAATAGTGCCTTGCTTTCTTTTCTTTGGTTCGACACATGCACTCTGTTTGCTTACAATTTTATCCACCGGCACTCATCGGGAATTCCCCTTCGTTGCATGGACTACGCGCCTTGTGGTGCGCTCTCATTTGTGAGGTGAACACTTTGAGGAGAGCTTCAGCTCAACGGTTGATTTCGAATCACATCCAAACGTGTCCCTAACACGTGATGGAATGATGGGGAGTTTACTCACTGGGTGGCTCACATAGCAGTAGAGGGCTGTTGTAACTACAATAACTCATTAGCTACTTGAAACATTACTGAACACTTCCTATTTGTTGGCAATTGATCTCTGCTGTCTCTTTCGTTATTACACCAAGAATCGTTTTGCGGACACCAGCAACCAGCTTGCAATGACACACCAGTGATTCATATAATAGGGGGTGCTCGAGTGAACTGCGTGATGATATGAAAGGCTTGGTGATAAGTTAAGGAATGAGAAGAAACTTTCAAAACCATTTGTGATGAAGCGTGCAGTTGCTTGGGGTGACGAGCTGCAAAATTCAATTTTATACTAATTAGGATTGCCTTGAGCATTCTTTGAAGTTAATGCAATTGAGAGCGAGAGTAGCTCTAAAATTAGTTCGTTCAGAGCAGAGAATCGCTTTGTTGGGATTCCGAAGTAAAGCTAAAGATGCACTTGCTGTCATGGAACGTGTGGCTAATCCACAAGTAAGTGCAGTTAGATTATTAAATAGCCATCATGGATAATGTGGTCTCCATTTTTCACTGTATAGGCGATTGATTTGGGCAGTGTCAGTTTTCCTCTGGAGGATCGCGGGTCGGTTAGTGAGACTATAAATGTCGTGCCCCGTCTGAGGTCAGTTGGCAATCTTTTATCTGGATTTTTTGAATTTTATTGGAATGAGATCTAAATTACTCAACCCTTGTTCGTGCTCGTTATGTGTACAACTTTAAAAATTTAGCGAGATTTGTCTGGCAGTCCTAAGCCCTGGAGAAGCGATAACTACTCTACCCAATGCGGAGAGTCAAAATCACCCCTTCCGCATCAAGGTAGGACGATTTTGTTGTAACTGTCGCTTTGAAGGCTTCAATTTTTGCAGAAAGGCTCCTATCGGTATCGACACCCCAGACGGACCGGACAGTTGTGTAACATATGCCATAAACTTTTTCCTATATTTACGGACTACGAAGCTCATTTGAAGGACAGTAACTGCTCTAGTGATACTCCGCCAGATCCTATCCCCATCCATGTAAGTGAGCATTCTAATTACTAGTTGGCAGTAGTACGGTGCTTCACAAGAACGGTACTTCTTCGAAGAGGTGAGGCGAAGCTTATTTTCTTTTTTTTTACAGATGTCCGACTCAGGTAACGTGCCATTGAACTACGATCTCTCGCCTATAACTAAGACCTAAGGCCGCAGCCAAACCACGGGTGATGATTTGTACATTGTGTCACGATGATAGGTTTTCTTCAGTGACAGAATTTCATGAACACATAATCGATTGTGCAAGGAAACTGGCTGCTTGTAGCGAGTTTTCATCATAACGTGTCTTTTCTGATCATCTGCCAACTCACGGATTTCTTGTTTGTCTCATTTTTGTTGGTGTTCTGTTGCAATTTTGTACATATTGTGTCAATTGTGCCATCATGCAACGCTCGACATTCCTCCCTTTCAGAATTATCGGTTGAAATTGTTTTGCTCAGTTATAATGTGTATTATATACAAATTTATAACAATATAGTATAATAAAATATGAGCTAATGAAAGCCAGTTTCTCATCGACGGTCTTCCCGGTGCGAAGATATAAGATTAGCTTGAAGGTCCACGGTACTCACCATCACTAGCGCGTGATTACCCGGTCTCTGTAAGAAATGGAATAAGTTTTGCAAACCAAAGTCAATATTCATCTTTAGTATAAAGATACAGATGTTTTCAAAAAAGAGTCAAAGGCATAGGTTGAGATCGAATTCGTGTGTTACTTTGTTTGAAATTAAGACAGATGCGGTGAGGTCAGCGGTAAAAAAAAACAAAAAGCGTCTTAGAAAACACTGGAATTTCCCTTGTGAGTCGGCCGTGGTATGACGGAGAGACACAGCGCTGCGAGGAGAGGGAAAACGCGAGAGTACGTCGTACGCGAGAGGGCGCAGACGCCACGTATGCCGCGGTTGATAAGGATGGCAGCACGGCAGCACACAAGGCAAGGATTTAGTGCCGTTGTCTTGCACTTTCGAGTCGCGACTTCTGGGCTTGGAGGTCACTCTTCCTCGCTCTCGGAGGGACTGGCTCTCGGCTCCCAATTCCACCCCATGGCTTTAACACGTTGACGACAGCGCACACTTCGTTTTTCGGGCCATAAGGGACAGAAGGGATTTTGCGAGCGCGGCCGTCTCGTCCATATCCGTAAATTTTGAGTGATAGCTATGCAAAACATGAATAAATCACAACCATTTTAGCAATATTCAATGCCTAGAAGTTGACCGGGGGTATAGTGGAGAAATTCCGACCAAAAAGACCATGTAATATTTACGAAAAAGCGATTTCACTATTTTTCTATTTGATGGGTTTCACAAGTATTTTGAGCATGGTTATGCCAGAAAAAAAAACATTTTTTCTACCCGTATGGATTTGTATTTTCTTCTACTAATCTTTTTTGATTACATGGTCATGAGTCTAACGAGGAATGAACAGAGCTGCGAATTTTGTAGCGTTGGAAAACCTCTGCGAAACTGAAGCATATTTGACTATACAGCAAAGCATGCCGTTGACAGTTACGTAATGGAGGGTTCCAGGGAATGAATTTAAAGAATAGTAATAAATAAGTAAGTACAAGTAATGAGAAAAGTAAAGTAAAAAATAAGGGATAAGTCGCGCAAGCGCGAGGAACAGGGATGACTTGAGTGGGACGCGCGATCGCGTCATAATGTGCGACGTGATGTGCGAAGTGGGACGCGTTACCGCGTCACGCTGTCATCAATGTGTTAGTGAATCTTCTTGGCGTAAGTATTGGGTCGTGCAGAACTTCACTGTTTTG